ACCATTGAGCAAATGATTCAATAGAGCTTCTCGACACTGCACAGGCGAAAGTGAGCGCGACAACACACCGTGAGCTGCTAAGATAGGCTCCAGCTTATCTCGGGACCCAAGGATCAGGGAGGAGTTCAATATTGTGTTTGTAGCAATACTGATATCAGGCAAGCATGAGGAAGATGTTGACGCACTGTCACTGCCAAAGTTGCCGTTAAAACTGCTCTGATCGGGTGCCACAGCATGCGTTCCAGGCGAGGCACAAGCTAGAGTAAAAAATCAATAACACCTAACAGAAGGCATAGGGGACAAATATCACACCTGCATGGGTACCGTTATCCGCACGTTCATTTGACACCGCTGATGGAATGCTTTGCGGTGCCAGAACTATAATCAGGTCAATTGAGCATTCATCGCAGCAACGGGTAGATCACGCAACGTACCCCATATATGTCCCGCCGGCAGTCGATGCGAGTTATCTTCGGACGGAGTAAATAACCAGCTCCGATGGAGGGACGACACGCATCCAGCCAGTCGCGGCCCAGGACAATGTCGGCGCGAACATGGGTGTGGACCAGTACAGGGAATGTCGAGTGGAACCAGCCGTTGCACGCGGGTACAACAACAGTACCGTGCATCACAACGAGAGGAGCCATAGAGCTGCCAGAAGTCGACCACGTACACGGGAGGTTGTGTTCCTGTATAAAGCCGGCGCGGACACATGAACTATCGATGCTTGAGTCCACCAAGATGGCAGCCGGGACACCAAAGTACGAGCCGACCAGAGACAGAGAGAACACTGCAGGAGCGCTCATCGCAAGACGCCGTAGACGATCAATACTAGTGAAAGCTACTATCATTGGGGGGGTTCTGTAAAAACTTGACAATATGACCGGCCAAGGGCTACCTTCTTCATCATTCCCTGTTATTTCACTCAGGCATCATAATATACCTTCCTAAGTACCATCCGCAAAAATAATGATCTCGATTCACTATGTACAGAGTAATACAGAGAGATGCCGCAGACAGACGGCACTTGCGGGGAGTAATGTAAAAACGTCACGCGCGGGTAACACTATCCGATCCGCGCGCGTCTGTCACGCATCTGTCACGCCCTTGGGCCTTTGGAGTTCTGTAAAATCTACCATACGAGCACTTCACAAGCCTGCAGCTAGTATCGGGTGGGCGCAGGAGGTTTACACATACAAGAAACACCTCCTCTAGGCAAGCCGATATATGCCGGGGCCGTGTAGGCTGGCAGATCTACCCATCAAGTGGCCACCAGACTTGTTACAGTGGGCATTTTGGACGGTGTTCAACCTCCCATACGACAAGGGGCCAACTTGAGGCAATTCTGACTTCACAGACCATCTGTATGGTATACAATGCATATACGTACCAACCCGCTAAGCTCCCTGTAGCATACTTCTCGAGATTTCGGAGTTCTGTAAAAAATCTGACTTTTACAGAACCCCCCCAATGATAGTACGACGTTGACTACCAGCGATATACGAAGGAGGGCTTAGCCTGAGAAAACTGACATAAGAGCTTTAGGGCCGGTCAGATCTTTGACCGATCTTGCAAAAATGGCGGAGAAAGTGCGAACACACTTGGTCGCAAGACCCTCCTGAACAGACTACGAGACGGCAGGTGCACTGACGAGGACTACAGACTTCTACAGTCACGCATCGTATCACGGGCCAATCTCCGCCATTTTTGCAAGATCGGTCAAAGATCTGACCGGCTGCTATGTTTGGCCCTAGTGGCGCCACTACTGAACAAGGACTTGGCACTTCGGGAGTTGCAGTATTTAGGGCCGGGCAGAAGATTGTACGAAAGGTAATTTCCAGCCAATTAGAGCCCGCGGAATTCCCTTTCGTACAATCTTTTGCCCGCCCCTAAAGACTGCAACTCCCGCAGTGTGGCCATGGTCGGGAATCCATCTCAATGTTCATACTTAAGTCCCGCTCAACTGCTCAACTATGTAATTAGTGTTGGTTTGTGGATGCCACCAGGTACAGATGAAGGCCTATTGTGAGCTAGAACTTAGAGCTACAGGGAGTGCACAGTATTAAGCATAGATCCTTGTACCTCAGAATTTTTGAGTGTTGTATGTCATGGCTTGAGAAGGATTTGAGTGTATGTGCACTCCATCTAACATGGGTATTCAATCATTCAAGTTTTCTGGGTCTCCATGCCATATATAAGTCTGTGATGGACAATTTACAAATAAATAGAAAATCCATGTCATTCCATGGCTTATGAGACTGAACAGATTGTAAGATAAAACTATGATGTGAAGTGGATGCCAGATGTCCAGGCAACAGACATGCACCATTAGGCATTCTTGGAGAGTGGGTAAGTATCTCTTAGACTACTTAGGAGACAACAGCACAGGGCATTCTACCTGGCCCTAGATGGAGCTTGAATGAAAGAGAACCGGGGAAAACTTAGGTCCCCTATATTACTAACAATATCCTTTGTATTATGGTAGAAATAGTCTCCTTACGATGATTTGTCGACCCCCTGTAGCAGCCGCAACATTTTGAACTTAGTGCAAGTTCTCAAGGTCGATTTCTTGAACAAAGGAGGGGTAAGTTGCCGGCGCCAGACGGCGCTTCACGAGTACTATAGCTAGTAGCTAAAGGTGCCAACGCTCAGCTGTATATTGATTCCGAGTAAGAAAGGTTGATATATTCCGCATGTTTACAGATGGTCGCGCTGACTGATCATGATGTAGTACACCGACAATACTAGTAATTTCGCGACTGTACGGGATAGACAAGAGTTGAATCAAGTCTCTGCAACCGCACCGCATCATGATCCTTCACCAAGGCCGTTCTTCACGCCGATACGACTATATAGACCAATGAGCACCCGACCTAAGCAGCTCCCCGGTATACACTTACCCCGGAGACTGTAGTTCGGTTCGTCATCGTTATCGTTGAAGTTCGCCTCACACCTGACTGTGCCCGCGGAGGGACAAGTAAACTCGAGACTGTTTGTGTTGTACCCCTTTGCATACTGTATGGTGTCGTTCGGGTCCTGCCAATGATACGAGGGAAGACCATCAGCCAATCTGAGAATATTGGAGAGATACATAATGGGGAGACACACGTCGACCTCCATGGCGATATGGCTGACGGTGCCCGGGTAGCAGCCGGACGCGTCCATTGCCTGGCAGTAGCTGTCAAGTAAGCGAGGATCAGCCCACTCCGGCGAGTAACCAGTGGCAAGACACGTACTACTGCTGTCCAGAGTTGCACGACACGGTGATTTACCTGCAGCGCATGCCTGAGTATTTATTTCGCTGTACAGATACATAGTTTTACCAGATATAATGCTCCTCCCCGAGCGGACAGATGGAGCCACATCCGCTCCTAGCTTCGAGAGCCCTGGCGCTCACGTCCAGCGCCGGGCCGCTGAATCCCACCGCGAGGACGTCTGCTACAGCGGCGTCGGCGCTGTGGACGGCCAATACGGTAGCCACGAGAGTAGCGAGGGCGGCAAAGGTGCTAGTGAATTTCATTTCCTTGTTTTTGTTGTAAGGGTAAGCGAGCTGTGGTAGCTGACCTGGGGGAGTGGGTCTGACATATTGCCCTTTATATAACTGGACGTTGGAAAAATGGGGAGATGTATTGGTATTGGATCGCAGGGTCGAGCGCAACGGGGGATGGGACACGCCGGAATGCCACACCACGTTGATCCATGGGTGGCGGATCGAGGTGGGAGCGCGCCCCATTTCGAGCCCCGCGACTGGCGTCTCTCGGGGTGAGGGACATGCACACCGACCATGACTGATCCTGTGCGTAGTTCAGCCAACCTGATTATATGGTTCTACGCGCCTTATGTGGAGATACAATAAATCGGATGGACGCTCGCAGTTGGCCAGAGATATTGGACTACCCCACGTCCAATAATGGAATATTGGACGTCACGAGACGAACGATGACCAGTTCCAGAATCCTACTTACCACGTCTTCGAAAATGGGCGAGACTGCCAGCAACTGCGAAAGACGCGCAGACACCTCATCACGGTTTGGCCTCTCTCATCGTCGTACTGGGATAGTAATCCTTGTGGTTATCAGCAATAAAGCAGGCGTGAGATTGACTATGCACATGATTCGGCACATACGCGCGAGGGGTTCAAGCGAGCTTCGAGTGCGCAGTGTGACCAGAGTTAAGCATGTTCAACCAAAAATTCTGCTCGTGATACGAAGTGACTGAGGATCTAGATAAAGGTCGAACGCGTAACAGAGGCTAAGGTTGCTGGTGGAAGACGGTTAGTGTTCCGGGAGAAAGTCTCTGGCCTGTAAGTTACTGGTAAGTTACCTAGGTCCTCCTGGAGGTTGTTTCTTACCCATGTCAGTTACGGTAAGTTACCTGTTTCGGCAATTGCCGTACGTATAGCGAAAATAGCAGATTTCGCATGATTTTCGTTGTTTTCGCCTCAATGCACCACGAAGATGTCTCGAACATATTGAATACCGGTTCAATACTGTGGTACTTGTCACAGGACTTCTTGTATCCCACCATACCCGGGCAAAGACGCTTGTCTGCTCGGTCATTACTTACACTTTTTTACACCCCTCCTCCGATGCAGGTGGTAACTTACAGTAATTTACCAGTAACTTACCGGTAACTTACCAGGAGGTAACTTACCACCGACTTTCTCCCCGAACACTAAAGACGGTGATGGAGAGAGGGCTACATTTGAGAGCGGTCTTTCGAAACTGCGATTTCGGTTCACGATCAATGTCACGGTCATGATTCGAACCGGGATGCGAGCCACCAGCATACTTGGGAACTTGAGTTGACCCCAATTTCCTCTCAGCTTTTCCACGCGTATGCTGCTGGCTTGCACTCGCAAAAGCTGAATGTGGACCGGGTGGCTCTGAACCACCTGCTATAGCGGCGACCCGGAGCTGTACCAATTGTCAGCTGCCGGCGAGCCTAAGCTTGTCCAAAAAAAAAAGCTGAATGTCTCGCCGAGTCTCACCATTGGTCGGCACCTGTCCATCTCTCTCATAATGACTGCCTTCCTTCGAGTATTGCCATTTATCTTAGTATATTAGGACGTCACTTCCTTACAACTCAGGAGATGCTGCGAGCCTGCGGCATTCGGCATGATAAACAGGAATGAGTGGTAGGTGCCACTACACATTATGCTGATCGTGACCACAGTGCCTCATGATCGTGCATACCCGGAAAGACGCTTCTCGTTATATGCATCATCATATCATAATATGCACAGGAATAGGCACGTATGTATTGCTTTTCCTTCTACTGGGAGCTCAGGCTGGGTTGCACTTGCAGTGTGCTACACAGCACCTGAGCGGTTGCATTGCCATTCATGTGTCTTTGGGGTAGTGAGGAACCATTGTTAAGGTAAGAAGCTCCCATTTTGGACCGACGTCTCAAACCTAGTCAAGATGCAATGGCACTTGAAGCCATCACAGCGTGGCAGTACGCTCCCACAGTTGTGAGTATAGCGTAATCTACAAGCACAGCAGGAGGTGGCGAGCCGAAGCACCCAAAGCACAGAAGCTGTGCAAGTTGTATGACGTATTTAACACAGATAGCTCCAGATGCCAGACTCGACAGAGCCCTCACGCCGTTCGACTTAGTCCTGCACTCTCTCTCTCCCCCCCCCCACCCGAAGATGCCTGGCGTCTTCGGGACTCCGAGTCGAAAGCGTAGGAAGAGAGGATACGACAAGGAAGAAGGGACCACGTCGACGGTGGCGGCGCAGTCCGACCTTTCTAACGCTGGAGCACCTTTGCATGCCATGAAGAGGCTTATGGCCTTCACAAAGCGAAAGAAGAAAATAATGCCGGACGAAAGCAAGACCTCGGGAGGGTGGGACCATGCCAAGACGGCCGTGGCTGTCATCGGTGCCCTCGCTGACGCGTCCGTTAATGTGCCTGGGCTGAAGCTTGTGTTCGGGGTAGCAGCCGAGATTATCGTCATGGCGCAGGTACCCGAGCCACTCCTCCTATGCGTTTTTTGCTGATATATGATATCGCAGAGTGAGCAGTCGAACAGAGAGGATGCCAAGGAAATCGAAAGCATCGTACAGAAAAGCATCCAGATGCTGGTGGAAGCGACTACGAAAGGTGGGATGGAAGAGGCGAAGGACGCCATTCAGGCATATGCTAGGTCAGTGATTACCCACCTCCTGGGGAGTATTTGCACACCAATACGCGCGCTCCATAGTGTGCTAGAGGAAGCGAGAGATGACATGAAGTGTCTGAAGAGTCGCAAAGTATGGCGGAGAATCCTCAGTAGCGATGCAGACCGCCAGAAGATAGTCAGGGCCAAAGAGCGACTGAACACGGGGTGGCAAGGACTACAGGTTAGTGTCTTTTCTCCCGAGTCAGGCTGGTCTAGACTGACTGTTCATCGATGCCGTGATCCTCCAAGACATCGCTGGACCTTCATAACGCCGCGGTGCAAGCCCGAATAGAGAAGCAGCAGGCCCGCAACCACGACGCAGTCATGGCCCGCCTCAAGCAGGCCGTGGACCAGGGCACAAAGATTGTTCAATTGATTGCGAAGTCTGGAGGAGAACGAGAGACGTGAGTGCAGCGCTGACAGTATCCACCATCCATCATGCGGTTCCCTAATCGGACCATTTAGAGATTATAACATCGACATCACTGGCGCGAGCCGTCGTCTCGTGCCGGTGATGCTGAAGGTATATTCGCCTCTCGAAGCCAAATTGCCTCGTGTGGTAATGGACGTTCATTCTGTCGTTTTATTTGGTTGAGCCCTGTCTCTTATGCCTAATTGCGCGACGCCCCGAGGTACGTCCTCTTCTCCTGGAACTCCTTCCACAGCAATGTTTTAAATGCTCAGTACAGCTTCACTCCGAGGTCATACTCGGTCTGTCATGCATGCACGAGCAGGGCACCCGCGACGTCGGAAAGCAGTTCGCGGCGTCGCGCAATTAGTCATAAGGGATAGGGCCGTCGTAGCCTTATTCTCGCCTCTGTTAATAATACTGTTGTATTCTCCAGCTCCTGGAAAGCCCACTATGACGCACTCCTAAATTTATACACATATCCAGACCCTTAGACAGACACTGGGCCCGGCTTTTGGACGATTCCGCGTTGAAGTGGAGGTGCGGACATGATTGCAGGAATCGTGAGGGATATCCAAGGTGACTCAGCTTAAACGTAGCATCAAGTCGGCACAGCCCAAGGGCCAGTTTTGCATGAATATCAGTACAACACAAACCAGCACATCCTATGATACACAAGCAAGAGCACATGTACCGTCCCCTCCACTTCCCTCCCGCCCCACCACCTCACCGTGCCTCCTCGACGACAGGCACGGGCGGCTGCGCCGCGCGCGCCATCGCGACGCCGAGCGCCTGCGTGCGGAACGCGAGCCCCCGCGTCTTCTCGATGATGGACTGGTAGATCGGGAGGGGGTGGCGGTTGATCTCGATGACGTTCTGCGAGGGGAGACACGGGGGTTAATGTCAAGGGATGGGGAAGGAGGGGAAGGAGGGATAGAGGGCGTACCTTCTCGAGGTCGATACGCGCGTCGGCGCCCATGCGCGTCTCGCGGATGAGGTTGACGATCCATTTCTCGCCCTCGTCGCGCGAGAGGTTGAGGCGCTCCGACAGGTCGCTATTGAGTCGTCAGCGGAGTTCCTCAAAAATGGGCTAAGATGACACCCACCCAATGTCGATCCGGTGATGGATCCGGCAGTACGCCTCGCTGATCAAGTACCGGGCATTGTCGAGGAAGTCCTCCCTGAACTCGTTCAGGAAGAAATCGTCGCCGATCACCTTCTCCGCGAGCCCGAGCTCGCGCTGCGCCGCCTCGAAGTCGAACTCGACGTACAGCTCCTTCAGGAACTTCGTGACGGGATCCTGGTACTGGTACTCCTCCATCTGTATCACCTTCACGACCTCCTTAATCGCATGCCGTACGCGCCCGGAGCTGCTCTGGCCGGACGTCTTGCGCGAGAGCACCGCCGCCGCGGCGAGGTACCTCAACACCCACGGACAACTCGTCTGTATCGTATTCAAATAATTCGGGCTGAGGAAGATCTCAAGCAACAGCGAGCGTCCCTGCGGGTGGTTGAAGTACACGAAGAGGCTCCAGTGCAGGAGCCACGTGCGGCTGTGCAGCTGGAGGAGCTCGCTCGGGCGCGCGTCGATCGACTCGCGGAGCGTGTTGAGCTCCTCGAGCGCGACGTCCCACTTGCCTGTGAGGATGTCGCACGCGAGCTTGCCCCAGCTCGCGGAGGTGTTCAGGTCGGTGTCGGTGGAGAGCACGCGGAAGTGGTAGAGGTAGTCGGCGGCGCCGGAGTAGTTGCCGTAGGTGTATTGGAACTGGCCGAAGTTGTAGAGGGCACGGATTTGCTCGAGGGTGACCTAGGGACGGAGGGGTGGGTGAGGGGAGAGGAGAGGAAGAGTGGGTGGGTAGTTACGTTGTAGTGTTCTTTTAAGTATTGCAGGTTCTGCATTTTGTCTTGTCGCAGTGCTTGGGCGACTTCCGGGTTCTCGATCACGTCCAGGACAGCCTGAGCCTCTTGTTGCAGGCGCTCGTTCGTGGACACGGCGTTTTCCCTCTTCTGCGCGAATTCTGACCGGCAAAGTTGATGAACTCCGACTTCCAAAGTAAATCAAGTGTCACGCACCTGCTGGAACCTCCTCGTCCGGATGTAACTGCTGGAACAAACTGACGGCATAGTCCACCATGTTCGTTCCCTTCGCGAGCTCATACTGGGCTGCGGCGACATCTTCTGGGGGGAACAAGCCGGTCTCGACGAGGTGAGTTAGGAGAGGAAATGCAAGATGGCGGTCGAGGTAGGGGACGATTGTGTTGGTGAGGTCGTATTCCGCCATCTTAGTTTGTGAACGCCCGGTACAGGAAATTTGGGTCAATACGAGAAGGCGTCGGCAATTTCCGACGTGACGCGGCTCAGGTGTGACCGTTTACTGAGATGAATCAAGTACACGGGATTTCCTTGAGAGTTAGGTGGTATAGACGTCCTTGTATTCTATGTCTTTTATTACACATCACCATAATATAAGAATTTCGACGAGGGCAGCATGCCCAACGGTCCTCGTCCTGTCCGAGGAAGACGTCCGATTCCCACGCTGGAATCCGAGTGTCCTCCGCGCATGTTGCCCCGGCCACGTGCGCATGCCGCCCGTCAGCGTCCCCGCTGGCACGACCCTCGGCGTCGCTCGCAGCGCAGGCCCTTCCTTCCACGCCGCCATGACCTCCATCACCCGCAACCTGCCCTGGTTCGTTCGCGACCTCGGCGTCGCCATCGTCGGCAAGGTGAGTTTCAGGGCACTTTGCTTAGGCTAAGGGTTGCTGAGAAGCACCGGAAGAAATGCTACATTTCGCTGGTGGAGAACCTGAACGTGTCGGACGTGGAATGTATCAAGTATTCCGTGTCAAAGGGTCTGGGGATTGGCATAGTTGTCGGGGGATCCATCATGAAAGTCCCGCAGCTCTTACTTAGTGCGTCTTCTCTTTTGGAAAGCACTTGCGAGCACTGACCCGCGCAGTTCTCTCTGCCCGCTCCGCACGCGGACTCTCCCTGCCCGCGTACGTCCTTGAGACGCTCGCATACGCGATCACCCTTGCCTACTCCTTCCGCAACGCCTTCCCCTTCTCGACCTACGGCGAGAACCTCTTCCTCACCGCGCAAAACGTGCTCATCACCCTCCTCATCATCTACTATGCTCCCGCCCGCCCCAACCAATCCAAACCCCTCCAACTCACCGTCGCATCGCTCGCCTCCGCACTCACCGGCGTTGCGCTGTATACCCTCCCGACCGATATTCTAGCGCTCTTACAGCTTTCTACCCTCCCACTATCCCTCTTCTCGAAGCTGCCCCAGATAATGCAGAACTACCGCGCACAATCTACCGGCCAGCTCTCCGCCTTCGCCGTCCTCTCCCAAATCGTCGGCTGCCTCGCCCGGCTGTTTACCACCGCGACCGAAGTGGGGGACCCGCTCGTCATCGCCGGCTTCGCGCTCGCGCTCCTGCTAAACGGCGTGCTCGGCGCGCAACTGTGGATTTACTGGGACAAAGATATCCGCGAGAAGGAGAGCCTGGGCAAGATCGCGATGAGTGAGAAGGAGCGACCGCAGCGGCCCGCGCAGCGCGAGAGCAAGGTGGAGGTGGTCGTCCCCCCGCAGACGCCAACTGCGCGGTACTCGTCGCCGACGCCTTCCGGCAGGAAGTGGGCGAGGAAACTCGATTGAAGCTATGTGGGAGTGTGGGTCTTCGTATGGGTATCCTATAGTTCGCGTTGTAATTTATAGAACGAATCTATATTATTATTTGTGGCCCCTCAGGATAATCATAAATCTATAGACCAATACAATGTTCGTAAGCCATAGTACAGTTCCGAAATATTTGTATAGAAGTCCATTAGTATTATAGTGTGGTGTTTCTCAGGAACATCTAGCCCGACCCCGCCTTGTACACAGTGCCGTACATAATTAATTGGAACCTACGTGCATGCTGATCAGCCCCATGCATCCACATCCCGAAACGCAGATACTCACTGATCATACAGCGCGAGCACACCCGCTGACGCCACCCCACGCAGGATATTCGCGCCCGCCCCCGCTACATCGGCTTGTCAGTCGATGTCAGCATCAGCAAGTCAGGAACACTCACAGAATAGGGCCTTAGCGCCCTCTTTGGCTACGATCTGTCGGAAGGCGTCTACCGTCGACTTATAGTGCACCTAAAAGTATTTTCACCAATTAGTTTCCCGCAGATAAGAGTGGATGTGAAAAGGCAGACGTACCTTTGTCCCCGAAGTCATCATCATCCGCCTGCGGACGGTGTCAAGCGGGTACGAAGCGAGCGCCGCGCCCTGCATACTGTGAGTGGGACAGGCTGCGAGATAAAGCGGATGGAGGGACGTACGGTCGTACAGAGCCATCCCACCGCGAAGCTCGCGAGGAAGTTGCCCTGGAGTGGCCCAATGAGGACGACATCACGGATTGTGTCATAGCCACCGAAGCTGCCCATGCAGCCCTCAGCAAGTAGTGCAAGGGTTAGAGAAAGGGGGAAGACGCACTAGAACCCCCTGTACACGCAGATGCCCATAACACTCGGGATAAACCCGCGGTACAGGCCCACAATTCCGTCCGATTTGAGCGTCTTCTTGTACACATCGAGCAGACCGGAGAACTCCCGCTTCCCGCCCGACTTGGCGTCCGCTGCCAGGCGCGTCCTCGCACTTACCAAAATTTCCTATACTCAGTATAATCCGGACAAAACCGTATGCAGGATAGGACGCACTAGTCAAGTGAATAGACGAAAACCGATGATGCTGCGCCGGCCGCGGCGCCGCTGGCGACATTGCCCGCCACCCAGAGCGCGAATCCCTCCTGGCGTTTGAACCCGAACATCGCTTTGAACGTGTCCTTGAACGCAAAGTTGAGCGCCTGCGTCGGGAAGTAGCGGATGATGTTCGTGCTGTTGCCACGCCAGACTACATTACCGGTCCAAGTAGAGTGTGAGTGGCAGGGAGTGAGGCGGGTGAGGGGATTACGCACAGCTATAGAGACCCTCGTTGGTGTACGTCCGCTTGAAGCAGTCGAGGATGCCCGCGTAGGGCCGGTCGAGCCGCCCGTTCGCGAGCATCGCGCCCTGGTTCTGCATGAGCAGCTTGACGCGCTCAATGGGAGCTGCGGCTGTCTTGGAGATGGCTGCGGCGGTGCCACCCATCAGGAAGTCCACTGCATTTCAGCCATTTGAATCAGATGAGATGTGACGAGGATATGGAGGCAGGAAGGGGGGCAAACCGTACCCATGAAGTTGCTTTGTTTATTTTCTGCATGGCTCTTGTTACTACCTGACTCCGCCATGGCTGATTGGTGCCTCTAGGATGACAGAAGAAAATAAGGAGATAAACCGAGTGGGGATTTAGATCGAAGCTTGAATCAAGTCAAACACATGAACGATTGCATAAGAGCTAGAAGGCGGCGTGCTCATATATGTAGATTACGCCTGCCTAGGGAAACGAGCCAGCGGCGCCCTTGTTCTCGCGAATTCCTCCGTATGTGCGAATGTATCGGAGGTTTGGGCGACCAATGCGGGGTGGAGATCATTCCAGGAAACACGTCCAATTACCAGTGCTAGCCAGTGAGAGACGAATAGACCGAGAATTACCGAGACATCAGTGTATAGGGAGCCGTATCCGCCGTGAGCGAATGTTTGGTCATCGATCCCATCCACTAACAACCAGCGGAGTCGCAGCCTGAGATACGATGAGTCGGATCTCGAGCACACACGGGTCGGCGCACAGCAAAGTGGCGAACTATCTTAGAATGGCTTTCATTGCACCAATCGAATGCTACAAGGACGTTATCGGATCTGGATTGCGCATGCCTGCCCGTGCGCAGTGGATGAGGAGGACGTACAAGATGGAGTCATGGGGCGTTCCGTATTCTCCCGATGGCGCGCGGGGCATCTTGGAGGCTGGGAAATGCAAGTTACAACTCTTGCCGAAGGCTTGGGGGAGCATCGGGACAGGACAGGATTGCTGGCCTATCTACTGACTATTGAGGAGACGTCGTTTACAAGTCTAGGACGAGGTGCCATTCAGGCCAAACCTCAGCACCATCTCATCAGCGATACTGTACCCGCCTATAATTGCATCGGGTCGGAGCGGCTCGCAGCACATGATCCAGTTAGAGAAGACAATCAAAGAAAACCTTTTCGCCAATTGCTGAGGCTAACGTTACAGCGACGACAAACACTACTGGCTCCTCCACCACCTCTCAAGATAGTGACTCAGTATCATATCCGGAGTGACGGCGGAGTCCGCATCGTAGGTCCACATATTTCGTATAAGTACCAGGGTGGACACGCGTTTAACCCCTGTTGTGGAGAAGCGCCAAACCTCTATACAGGGGTCGTGAGCTCCTACTAGACCACTACGACCGTAAGAGAACCGATGGACACGATTGAGGCGAGAGAATCCGGAGCAGGCGCGCAGAAAGCCTGGCAGCCAACTGGTAAGCATAACTCCGTTCAGCAATGGCCCCACAATGAGCCGCTGACTATGTTCAGAACCACTCTTCCAAGACGATGAGACCGCCGATGTGATCTTGCGCTCAAAGGATGGGATCAACTTCCGTGTTCACAGACTGATACTCTCCCTCGCATCGCCGCTCTTCCGTGACATGTTCGCCATCGGTGCAGCGTCGCGCCAAGAAAACAGCCTCGCCACTGAGGAAAAGGATGCAGCCTCTGGCCTTCCCATTGTACCAATAATGGAGGAGACCGGAGAGACTGTGGAAAAGCTCCTACAGCTGTGCTACCCAGGACCCTTAGAAGCGCCGATCTGGAAGAGTGCGTCTCAACTGCAGCCCGTGCTAGCAGCAGCCATGAAGTATCAATTTGAGGGCGCGGCAAATGTGCTGAGAAAGGAGCTAGTTTCTCTGAAATTGCTGAAGAGAGAGCCCTTGCAGGTCTTCGCAGCTGCCTCCTCGTTGCGATTGCAGGAGGAAGCGCGCATAGCGGCGAGGCGTCTTCTATCTGTGGAGATCGAAATTATACCCGAATTCGACGAATTGCGATTCGTCTCAGGGCTCGTCATGTTCCGTTGGATGGCCTACCGGAAGCGTTGTAGAGCAGCAGCTCAGTCCCTGACTCTCAGTCCAGGCTTAGAATGGGACACGAAACGCGATTGGATTTGGGTCACTTGCTCCAATTCACAGTGCCACAGATATCACGACGACCACTACCAAGGACTCGCTGCTTCTTGGTGGGGTGGCTATATGTTGAACATCCGCGGACTTCTAGGTGGCTACCCATCCGGTGAAATCGTGACCAGGGAATCATCCAGGAAACCTTCCAGTCTGTCTTTGTCTGGGTGCACAACCTGCTCACTCCAGGCATCCTGGGACATCACATGGTTTAGTGACTTGCTTGGGAAGGAGGTCGATAAGACGACGAAAGAGGTGCGTCGACGCCTCTACCTCGCCTTCGAGCCAGCTTTGATTCCTTCACTGGCCAGATCGCGGAAACGTACGACTTCTGCGGCTAAAGTGGGAAAGGAAAACGGGGTGGTTGCAGACCTACACTGGACGCTCAAACTCCGATATCGGTGAGACGGCATTATCTTGGAACGACCTGGACCCGCTCTTGTCGTGAAGGCTTGTGCCTCGACAGAGCCGGGTATGGATGTAACTATCATGTTCGTGCCACAGGAGGCACGTCTAACTGAGCGCATCTGTTGGTAGACAGATTATCACGTCGCTATATGCCGTCCCCCGCAGGTGGTTACTCAGTACGGAGAAGGGACACTAATACGCCATTGGTAAATGACGTACGGAAAACCCATAGTATATCGCTTGAATCAGGCTACACACCGACGCGTACCAGTAGCCCAAAGGATTGTTTCAAAAGGGTGATAAATTGGCTGATCGCGTGTTAAACGGATGGGGTAAGGGAGCGTCTTGGAACCATGCTTATCCGGTTTTGTGGAAGTCCAAATTCAATCTGGGACATCTGGTAGACGGCCCGTAGACCCCTTGTACTATCCAAACTGGATGCTGAATAACAACAATTCATAGACAACTTATGTGTCGGCTAGTGTGACTGCATTGTACTTCGAACAGCCGGTGACCGTTGAATATACGTGAACGTCCCTAGATCGAAATTTATCTGTCTGCGGTACAGATTTCTGGTGTCTACTTGTAACTTAGTCAGCAGGGTCAGTGCCAGCGGTCACTTAGAAGAGGCACCCTGACGGTGATTGGCTGTATATGCACTGGAATAGTCCTTTGAGGAGCGGGCAGAGTACCATACAGCGTACGCACCACCAGAAAACACGGCAACGTCGCCTTAGGGTTGCCTGATATAATCCGTCATCCGTTCTGTTGCTCCGTCGAAGTACAGAAAGGCATATGGGCACGAAGAATAACGGATCCGGAAGCAACAGGTGGCAATCGTACCCGCTACCCTACATCATCTCCACGCCAGATTTTCTCGTCGGGAAGGACCGCCCGTCTCCTCGGACGCATATAAGAGGATACGGAAGACCTCTGTCCATACCATTGTCCACACCTTGAAGCGGTTCCTCATTAATCTCACCTGCCACCAAATCCCCATCACCTCTTAGGAAATATGAAGGTCGTTCCGCCCTTGCTTCCTTTGCTGCCCCGGCCTCCGCGCAGAACGTCAACAGCTCTTCGGACACAAACGGGTCCACGACCACTAACCACCGGAGTGTGCAATATCACCGTCAATATCGACCGGCCCGTACGCACCATCATCACCTTGTCCCGTCTCAAATTACTAACGCCCCCCTCGCGCAGAGCACCTTTACGAGCGTCTCCGAAGTCGGCCTCCTCATGGCCTGCAGGGATGCGCGAGCAACGACGGGTGCCTCGACCCGCATCATAGCGTGGGCTACGTCCTCTACAACGGCGCCTACAAGCCCGCATACGCATACAGCAACGACACCTCCAAGCCGCCGAGCCAGAACTTCACGGTGACGGTGCCCCAGAATATCGCCAAGAGCGAATGACTCCTTACCGTAGCGCATTCCTACTTGAACGGGGTGAGTTATTCGGTAAAGATGGGGTGACTCTATGGCTGACCTGACTTCCGACACTTTCGAGGCTAGTGCGTCACCGGTGCTTGATATCACAAGCAATAATGTAACGATCGTCTGAGTATCTCACCTGTGATGTGCGGACTTGGATCAGTAACTCTCGTAGACTCTTAAGTATCAGTAATTTACAGTAATAACATGATTCTCCAATCATATAGAACACCTGAATTCTTCACGGCTCGTGTTGGAGGTCGCGATATATTCCCCTGAGCGTAATGCCAGCATGATAATCTACGAACACTGTCTGTAGTACCTGGAGACGACAACGAGGTCAGTACTGCCCCACGAAATATGTAACCAGCACTACTCACTGCAACGCCTGTAGCCCTCACGTACACATCCCTCCCACTCAGTCCAGCTCCCACCCAAACACCTCCTCCGCCTCCTTCAACCGCTCACACACCGTCCTAATCCGCTCATCATCCACATTCGCCACCGAAAACCTCACATACCTATCCTCCTCCCTCACCTCCGTCTCCCCTTCCCCTCCCTGCTCAGCCACAAAGAACGCGACGGGCAAACACACCACGCCCCGCTCCCTCGCCAGGCGCTCGCACACCTCCCTCGCCCCCCTTCCCTTCCACGGGTGTCGCACGAACGCATAATACGCTCCGCTACTCGCGATTTTCCACCTCCTCGGCAGTAGCTCCCGGAAAAGCTTGTGCCGCGCGGCCAGCGCGTCCCTATTATCCTTGATAAAATGCCTGAGGGACGGGAGGAGCGATTTCGCGGACGGAGAGGGCTTGGTGAGGAACGCCCGCTGCGCGCCGCGCGGGGCGCAGATCTGGAGGCAATCAAACACGCGCACGAGCGCGGGGAGGAGCGCGGGCGAGGCGGTGATCGCGCCGAGGCGGTGCCCGGGGATGCAGTACGACTTGGAGAAGGAGTAGAGGGAGATGACGGTGGGGCGCCAGGACCAGTCCGTTGGCTGGTGCTCGGGTGCGATTTGTCGCGAGGAGGGGGAGTGGAAGAGGTAGTGCGGGGGCGAGGAGGCGATGAAGTCGCGGTAAGTCTCGTCGATGATGAGCGCAATCTTGTGGGTCCGCGCGAGGGACGCGAAGGAGGCGATGAGGGACGGCGGGTAGGTCGCGCCGGTCTAACCGAGATGAGCATTGTTGTAGTCAGTGCACATTAGGAAGACGGGGAGGGGAACATACCGGGTTGTTGGGCGTGACGAGGACGATGGCGCGTGTCCGAGGGGTTATGAGCGCCGCACACCGCTCGGGGTCAGGGAGGAAGTGGTCGTGTGCGTATGTCTGTAGCTCGACGGTCTTGATGCCGAGGAGGCTCAGCGTCATCCTAGAGGCAGAGTATCAGCCCCCGCGCCACTCCACTGTCAATCTAGATTACGCGCTGGTTATTAAAGTACCTGTAGAAAGGTCAGAAAAGCTGCCCATGTCAAGCATTCCCCTCAGACTCACCAGGGAACAGGCAATATAAACTCATCCCCCTGCTGCGCCAACGACATCGCAACGGCCACAAACGCAAGGTTGCACCCTGACGTGATGGAAATGTCTTCCGCATTCACATCAACCTCACCACTTCCCTTGTCTTGACCTCCGTACGTCCACCTCATCTCCTCTGCCACCGCCTTGCGCAACTCGTACTCCCCCTCGTCTGGCCCGTACCCGAAGACGCCTGGGGCAGAAGCCGCTGCTGCCAGGGCATCGCGCAGGACCGGTGGCGGAGGGGTGCCAGGTACGCCTTGCGAGATGTCGAGGAGGGGACGGTCAGGGGCTGGGACGTACTGCTTCGCCCAGCTGAGGGCTTGCCCGATAGGAGGCGTTCGGGTGGAGAGGTTGTTCGGGGCGAGGTGGAAAGCCAGTTCACTCGCCATAGCGGGGTTCTATCTTTGGGCTTTGGCGGGATGAAAGGATCGTCGGCGAGGAGAGAGCAAGGGACCAGAATAAGGCTCAGTCGCCCAAGCCCGTGCTCCTTATCTTATCGCATCTTTCAGACCCCGACCGGCAAAAGGATCATCAATTGACAGTGTGGCGATTGGACGTGGATTGCTGAAGAATCAAGATACATAGGAGGCCGAGGTTGATCGCTGGGCAGGTCAGTAGCCGATGCTACGTAGTATTTGTGCAGAAGCTGCAGCTACATATTCCATAATCTGCAATCGAGCAGAATCCAGAGGATGCATAGCCGGATGGTGGTACAAAGTCTGAAGGTTAGAGTGCACCGTGGTATGAGAGCATAAGCCCAATGAAAACAGAGCATTGAACATGCAAGTGTGAACGAAGCGATGTCTTACTATAAGAGGAAATATCTTTCCTAATCAGGTTTTGTGTCGTGAGGAAAGGAGGGCTTTCGCAAAGATGTCTGCTCCTTTCACGGCACCGTGGTCAGATAACATAGTACCTGCATATTGGGGTAACCACTATGGAAGTCACCAGAGTCAACTACAGCGTGAAGGTCTCCATCTGTAATCGACTACTCAGCCGTGTTTCTTCACTCTAAAGGCTCGCTCTAGAATGTTCGATTATCGACAATAACGTCCAACACGGGAATGAAGTGCAGTCACAGTACTTACATGACTCTGACCCTGTGCTAGGAAAACGTTTGGGGCAATGTCACCCGGTCATATTCTCCGTTCCATGAAGGTAATAATATTAATGATGGATTTGCCTGCGATCCGGAGCAACCAGTTCCGAGTCAGTGGTGTACCTCTCAATCCCGCTGCAACTTTTGACCGGGGTTCTATTAAAATGCCTTCTGAGCGACGCAAACTAACGTTACAGTCCACCACGACTGCGATGCATTCTCTGTACTTAGTGCCTGGCTAGTGTTGTACCTGACCGTCGGCGAACAATCTGGCCACCGGAGAAATGGCGGGAATGGTGGCTGTACGGAGCTAAATAAGCGGCACGTCGGAAGTGAATGAGCCTCGTGCGAAACGGGGGGAGCCCTCACCGTGTCGTGCCGTCCATACCGCGGCCAAAATACAACACCTATGTGGAGCTCAACTCCCGCATCTCGTACCTTCTCGAGCCCGAACGGCTCGACCGACTGAACTGCAGCCTGGTCTCAGCGGTCAGGACCGTCGGAAGATGCTGGAAAACCTAGGCGGGTTACAAGTGTGAGAACGCCGTTCATTACATACAACAGACACACTGGGGCGAGTGCTGTCCGGACGGGACAGGGATCGGCATGACTGAAATGACGAAAACGAGCTGCGCCGACGGTCCTCGTTTCACGGACATCAGACCTAGGGCTATGTATCTGCGCTGACGCAGTGTTCCTCTCGCGCTAGAGTTCATCTGGCCACTCGCCCACGCCATCCCGCCCCAGTATAAATGCTCCTCCGCCACGTCCAGCAGCCCCCCAAACAAAAACACTCACCTCACGAACGACCCCCCTGCGCACTCCCACGAGATGAAGTTCCTCTTCGTTGTAGCCTCCCTCGTTGCCAGTGCACTTGCGCAGACGATTGACATTGGTGCACCAGCAAGCGGTACCACCGTCTCCCCGGGTAGCAGCCTCACCGTCGAGGTCGACAGACCGGTACGTCACGTCGTCTCTCGCCGCCCGGACTATGTATCAACAAACTCACAAATATAATGCAGAACTCCCTCACCGGGTCCGAAGAAATCGCCATCGTCATCGGGCTCCGCCCGTGCTACAACAACTATTGCGTCGACCCCGCCGAAGCGATGGGCACTATCTTATACAATGGCGACTTCAATCCCCAGTACAGCACTGAGCCCGGCACGGGGTCCAAGCCCCCACACCAGAACTTCACTGTCACTGTCCCGTCCAACATTCAAAGCGGACCTGCCATTCTCAGTGTAGCGCACCTCTCGCTTGTCGGGGTGAGTATCTCATGACTTGTCCTTTCCGAGGTAGCTTGCTGATGTGCCTGTGAATGTAGGCTGGCCCATGGCCGATGTTCGAAGTCAAGAACACGTCTGTCACGATCAGCAATTGAGCATGTTCAAGGATGTATGGACCTCAGAGCCGAAAGGACCCTGGGTTCCGTGGACTAACACGACTCCCATTTCATGGACTAAGGAGATAGGGACTCTCACCGGACTTGTAGCATAGCTTCTGATAACTTTGTACCATAATCATCGCCACAGTAATAAACTGGTAGCCCATGTTCGTTCCGATTCTCGTGTGAGACCCAAATGCCATGCAAACAGAAGATCAAACGGAGACATGGATGCGCAGGGTGACCCGTGAAGGTCAAACGCTCAAGTGCCAGTGGCGCAATCTCGTTTGGCATTGTTTGGCGACACCATATAGCCGCACTTGGCCACATTTTGCCAGTGACATTTCGATCTGTGCCGCCGCGCCTATCTTGCTTACCTGGTTCAGCAGGCATCTTGAATGTTGCGAAAAATATATACATGCTGATACCTGCGGTCAGAAACAAGGGATTCAAGGTAAGAGGTGATTCATCGGTACCACTGAACGGCTGTGCTAAATAGCGTGTTGTAGTGTACTGAGGGAAATGAAAAGGCGTTAGCTGTCGCTTTGGATATCTCAGGGGGATATAAGTATAATGTCCCTTGCGACAGAAATGCCGTAGAGAGCAGTATCAGAGCATGGAAGGGAGTCCCCGGCGCACTCCGCCCTCGAATTGTAGCACGGCAGGTGAAGACTCGCGGAGCCTGAGCGCCCGGTCATTTCCGAGCTTTCTACCATTTTTTGTGCTTATTTAGCCGTCTGTTCACCAATATGAAAGCCTGGGCATCCGTGAAGCTACTCAGCTAGCTCTTGAAGTCGTCGCACACAGTGCGGGTCGTCTGTCGGCGATCAAGTAAGGTGCGACTGCCATCGCCACATGACATTCATAGACTAATGCTGTTCTCGAATAGTTCATCAATCGTTTTCTGATGCTAAGTACAGGGACATGTGCTTGAGGGCCTAACCTTCCAAGGCGTTTGAGATGGTGCCTAACTGTCTTATCAGGTCGTTCGTAGTTGCACAGTGCTGCCTCACTTGAAAAGATATCCATCTTCGAAAATACCTTATGAATAAAGTCATGGGGCCGCCCGCCAGTGGCGACTTCCGAAGACCCAAACCTTCTCCGAGGAAGATATTGTAAGTTCCCTCTTCCATTCCAAAATGTCAGCAGAGGCGCTTGTAGACTCGAGACGTTGAATTTATTCTTAGACCATCGCATAGCGTTCTATTTGGACTCGGGGTTAGCTTCTGGATTTGAACACAGATCATCTTCTCGAGTATATCCCTGGACCCAATGTGACTACAAATGTATGAATCCCCGGGTAACAACCGCCCTCAATCCCGTTCGAGAAGATCGATACGCGGATATCTCGACCAAACTCTCTTAGAAGCTAGCCAGTTCTATCTGCAATGCTCTCCTAACGTCGCGTTTCTCCTACAAATACCGCCTACGGACGACTGCTGTTTACCTTGGGCATAATATGAGCTCACGGCCACGGCACCTTACAGTTCAACTTCCGAGCAAGCTCACGCGCTTTTATTCCGTTGAAACCAACGATGGCCTATCTCCACTTGCCTTGTCTATCGCAGAGACAGTTTCTTCCTCATCGACGATAACCATGGAGTTTGGGCCGGGACGTACCATGGACAGGTTTCTTAGTTTTATGGGGGCCCGTTTAACGTCCCTCATAAGCCGGGTCTCCGAGCGTCAGTTCAAGAAAGGACCTAACGCTCTTGTGGGCATGATGATAAACAGAATAGAGTGGAAGAACCATCAGTGTGCTATCGTAGATTGCACTGGTCATCCGAGGTGCAAGAGGCTTGGGGAAAATGCTGGTTTACGCAAGTTTCCTCCGTCATTCGAGGATGTAGTGGAGCTTTTATTTGCCCCTTACTGTCGCATCTGCCGCGACTCCTTTGCAGTATCTCTTTCTCAGAATGCGGTCTTCTCTCGCGGATGCGGAAAGTTGGTGGCACAGCTTCGGTAAGATAGGATGCTGATCTGCGACGTGGAACTGATCAAATTCCAGGAATGCGAGCCCTTCAGCTCGACTCCTCGCCGCATACTACGTCTGCGCCCTAGCGTCGTTTCACCCTTCTATCCGCCAGATTTTTGTCAATCTCCGCGCTCCGGAAGTGCTCCGTAATCTGGTCAATGAATCTGAGATTTTATCGAGTGCGCTACCAGCGGAATCCTCACGCCGCGCTCTGGCTAGCGTCTCTGAAAGTGCACTTCTTCCGGCTATCAAAGACTTCGATGCACTTGAGCACAAACTGAGTGAATACTATCGCCAGAAGTTGACTGATAAAGAAATGATTGTCCTACTGCCGTACACGGTTACCTCATTGTCGCGTCTTACTCGAGGGCTCATGTACGTGCCACAATTGTTTGCTGCTTGTGGTGAATTGACTTGAATACCTCTAGGGAACCGCAGCTGCAAGTACTCGCTGCTTCTAGACTTTCGTCTTCTATAGTCTGGCAGGAATTAGCTTTCACTTCTATTATTCCGGGCTTGAGGGCCGCAGTCAACAGCGGCATCGTACAGTATCTTTGGCACCTGATTGCATCGACCTCTGACCCAATCGTCTTTGGAGTTGTTGGATGCATGATACAAAGTCTCTATGAATTCGCGTCCCTATCTTGCGCGAACCAATGGAACATCCTGGAGCAACGTTATGTTCCCTCCTTCTCGTGGGCTTGGCACACACTTTGGATCCCTCTCTTTCGTTTGAGGTACTAGTGAATGCCGAAACATACCCTTATGCGTGTATAGGAAAACTCATGATTCTTTCTAGATTATATTACCCGCTCCTACTACGCAGGATTGCCGTTAGGTATCTGAGGGACATATGCAACACCTTCTCCAGATGGCCTCTTGTCGCCCTAATTATAAGTGTCCAGGCTCGTTCCAGTATCAGGGCCCTCAGACAATTGGTGACACAGGCTCTCGCAATGGCCCCTCGTAATGCTCGATACACGACGGAGGATCCCGTGCTGCATCTGATGCTCACCGTGACGGATCCACTATACGAAATAGCAGGACTCCTTCAAGAGGAACGTTTAGTAGCCATGGAATATGATGGCTACGACATTCCGCGCCACATCCCTTATCAACGGTTAAAGGGGTTATGCAGTCAGGCTGTGTCTGCCATGATGAGGTGCGGTCTATAGTTTATGCTTCGGATGCCCTCGGTCGTCGTGTCCTAAAGCTAACCTCTGCGCCAGTAACCAGACTATGGACGAGGTCTGCACGTCACCCTCCTTCCTCCAACTGATAGCTCCGTCATTCGATACCTTATGCCGGGCGCAGCTGCGAGCACTACTGGAGCCATACAAAGCGTCGGTACAGCCGTTCCAGAGAAGACGAGCAGACATTCTCATCGAGGCCTTGGATGTAGTGGAGAAAGCATCGGAGAGCAATTTGCATTGCACTGGAATCACTGCATGCCTGGTGCATTCCGAGGACTCTGACGCATTCAGTGTATGTCGCTGATCAAAGCCTTTGCCTATGCTAAAAATTAGACAGGTGTTCTCAGATCACTACAAAGGTCCTTGGCCCCCTGAACGAAGTCATGACCCTGATCGTCCATTTGCAACGCTAATTGTGGAGGAGACGTATCGCGACCTCCGATGGATATCAATTCCTGACCTACGATTAGACGGCATTATGTATCGACCCATTCCTGCCCCAATGGGCGAGGGAAATCAATATATCGCACGCACACGCAATATGCCCTTGGATGAAGGGAAGTACATCCTCGTTGATGCGCACACCGTACAGTCCAGTGGAGCGCCAGAGTTGTGCGTGTTGTGTGGGTACATACAGGGCAACACCAACGGGATATTTTGGATGACACGGTACGTGCTCGAAGGTCGTACCATATATTCATCATCCTCATGTAAAACTCCTAGTACAAAGCTGATCCATGCTTTCACTGGAGACGAGCGACCAAATAATCTCCTGTTGTCGGACGCAGTCCATACGCACGCTGGACTCACATGTTGTTGCGCATGGACCTGGCGAAGGCTCTACAGTGGAGACGTCATCAGACGTTCAAATACGATATAGGTGATCTCCATCGACACCGTTTCGACGACCAGGGCAGATGCACCTACCCTCGGTCGCCTACCTTTCACCTGCAGGGTTGTTGGCGCCTCAGTCTAGCCTTCATCATGAATTTCCGGGACTGCAGGTTTCCCTGGATCTTCCAGTGTTATGGTCTTTATCGATAAGTATCTGTACGTTTGGACACCATACTGTATATATTGCCCCATCATCATGTCTGGGCAGCACTAGATGTCGCCTCCGAGCAACAAACTGAGTCGCTGATACGCAAGCGTGCTTGCGCCCTATCATGATCAAGGCGTCTTGCCACCCACGAGCTGGTACATACCTTCCGCTAAACTCCTCGGATTCACTGCCCACACAGCCGCATCCATATTATCCTGGCCGTACAATTGTAAACTTGCCCAGTACCTGGCCCGAACCTCCGACATGAGCACCTTGGCGCTCGCTCGATTTGCAGTAAGTGTCGTCCACCCTCGCTCGGCGCCAAAGAGCAGGCTGCGCAGAGTGTGCGCAGAGATCTTGGATTTTGGTTTCGCGCCCGGTTCCAATTGGAGCAATTGGCGACAGGTCTTGGCTATCGCCATGAACAGTGCACCATGGCCGCTCCGGGTATAGCTGGAATCCGGTTCAGGCAAAACCGGACCACTATTCATGACGCTGATGGGAACAAGGGGAAGATAGCCCCTCGGATATCTAGAATCCTGCCAGTACATTTGCTCACTCTCCTCTACCGTGAGAGATGTTTCTGGAGACGATCTGCCCACGCCACTTCCAGGGTCACTACGAACATCGCGGAAAAGCGCACTGGCCCGCCGTTTCTCTTTCTCGCCGCCTATGGTCCACACTATATCGAAGAAGCGATCTCTAGCTTCCGCGGTTGTCAAGAATTCGACGTCACTGGAAGAGAGATCCCCAGCAACTTCCGCTTCGACTAGAGACGGCTCGGCCCTCACTGCAGCGGTGGAGGTCTCTCCTGAACGTCTAGATACTCTGTTCACGTGGCAGGAGAGCCGACGACGCAAGATATCCAGCAGTCCCTCTTGCATCTCCTGCTGGAGCTGTTGCATCAAGGCGCGTGACTGCGGAGGGTGTCCCTGTTGTTTAGAGCCTGCTTCAATGACGTGTGATTCCAATCCTCTTTCTGAGGGGTCTTCAAAGCGAGAAGCGGCCTCCGCAGTGGTCCTCGGGAGATCAGCGTGAGTGATATCAGAGACGAGTGCGATGAGCAGCGACAAGTCCAGGTTGACAGACGCTGTCGGTCGGAACTGAGGAGTGCTAGATTGCAATGAACGAGGAATTTGAGGAATAGCGGCGAAGCTGTATTGACGTTCTCCAAATTGAACTTCTATACCCAATCGCTTCACTTCTTCTAGAGCTTCGCATATTTTCGTCCTAAGAGCTTCATCGCAGTGGGTAGTAGAAGACGATGCCCAAGAGGATAGAGCACTATAGTCTTCGAGTCTCGTGAAGCGTATCGTCACTTTGGGATACTGAAGAGATTCGCCTTTGAGTATGGGCAGAGGATTTGCATGGGCGGCAGCGACGAGCGACTTAGCCATGCGTATCAAGGAAACTTCGTTATTTGACTGTTGTTGGTACTCGCCAGAGGGCTCTGTCATGTCAGAGGAAGAGTCACTCAGATAGGAATCAAGCTCCTGGAACTCGTATCCTAGGCGTGTCGCCGTGATGCTAGTGTTTCGAAAGAAAACAAGGTGTTAAGGACTGATTATCTTACACAACGAATGAATAGAGGATGTTTCAGGTGAATGAGAGGTAGCCCGTATCCGTCCGGCGCGCCGTTGCAGAGATTTGACAAGACTGCTTGAAGGGGAGCGAAGTGTGACATCAAAAAGTCGAGACACTCACGTATTCACTCTAATCCACTGCCTTCCCCCGTCCGCTATCACGTCGACCTTCACACCTGTCTCGGTGCCGGTGAGTTGACGCTTGGAATGGCCTTTTGATGGTTTATCGGTAGATATGGCACGAGGATCACATAGATGTTGGGTAACTGCAACAACAGGGGCTGGAGCACTCAGAACTTCTCGCCAGACTGCGAGCAGATATGGAGCGTTCATAGATACTTTGCCCGCGTCGAAGTCGGGTTGGTTACGACCATATCGAAGAACCTACTGTTCGATATATATGAATCACGCGATTGCCGCACAAGAGGACTAAACTCCATACTTTACCAACAGATTCCACATCTCGCTTCACAGATTCCTTGAACTTCGCTAACCCAGGTAGAGTCGTTTGATTGCCGTCCAGGCTTGATGAAGCGGAAGGTTTTGAGATGAGGGGCTCGCCCGAGTTGTCAAGGATGGCTAAGGTGTGAATATAAGGCCTGAAGGTGCAGATGGATGCGTAGGCAGACTGGAGGTCTTCCAAGACCGCGTCCAAGGATTGACTACGGTGATTCATCTCAATCCTTTCGGTCCTCAATTGCAAGATTGGGGGTCAAAAACCAATCAAAGCCGGGCCGGACCGGACCTCAGTGACCTCACAACATCCCGTGGGAGATGCGCCATTTATGATTTACAAAAATGTTGAACTAACCAATCAGAAAACCGAATAATGGCTATTTTAGGTAAGTGATATATGTATAGGCAAAAATACTCCCGCTGTGGCGCTGAGTGCGTACGACGGGTCATCGAGGGAATTTATATCATAGCCGCACAGGTAGACTACTAGGAGTGATGTAGTTCACGCGTTTGCCTAATTCTCCGTGTATCCTGCACTAGGAGAATCAAGATTATGACCGTACGAACCTCTTGCGTTCGACAGCTATTCACCAGGCGTGCAGTGCTAGTACGGGATAAGGGTTTGAGAGCGAGGAGCACTTTCTATTAGGAGTGCAGAGCTGCAGACATGGGAGCTCGAGCAAGATGGATTCATATCTCCCAAAAATCCAAATAAACACCATGGCTGCTGTCTGTGGATCCCAGTAGGTCGAGGGTAACCCGGCGAGACAGCTCTTCATTAGTGGCACCGCAGCTGAGGCACGGTGGTGGCTGGGCAATCAGTCATGACTCATGGCTCGCGCACACCACTGTGTAATGTCTGAGAGGGAATGATAGATATGCAGACAGCATCACTGGATCAGTAGTTGCAACACTCTCCGGGAAACATAGGTTTCAGGAACTAATAAGAGGCTGGCTCGGCACTTCACCGCAGTACTCTACTTAGCGCTCGAACGGCCGTCATTTGGAGAACAGATGCCGGACCATATAAGAGAGCCCGAGATATTGTGGGTCAAAGTCAACCGTCATGCTAAAGAGGATCGAATCGCCACTAGGACACTTGCGCAGTCCCGCATCTCCATGGAAGGCACAGGTTGCCAGCTCCCCAGGGGACGGTCCCGAGTTTCCAACCGAACAGAGTCAGACTCTCCATGTGGAATCTTCGTCCCTTACCAGACAGGCCTCTCTGTACGATCCCTCGCCGCCATACGAAGCGTTACAGCAGCAGTCAATCGCAGACGCAGGTTATAATCCACCCTCGGCACCGCAGCGTGTCTATCATAATGACCATGGACAACTGGATCAGCTATTGCAAGGAGAGGGCCCCCTTACATTCCCCCGCCCGATCTCAACCCAACCCAAAGAATACGCAGCATCCTCAACATACGACACGGGGTCCAGCAGCGGTAACCGGTCGTACAGGGATCCAAGTACTCCAAGCGTGGTAAAAGAGCGCGGCTTCCAACTCTGCTCCATCCTGAAATTCCTAGGAGATTCTGCAAACGTCCTGGACCCGCCACCGCCCTGTTTCGATAGGCCGGTACCGCCCAGTATCCCTGACCAAGATTTCCCGAATATGACCGTCCAAAGCGCAAGTTACGATGTCGAAGATGGCTTTCCTCGCCTACTTCCCGCATGCGTTTTGCAACCGCATCCGTTCTTCACGCATGACATCCCCGAGGAAGCCTGGTTCAGGTGAGTAGTCTACCCGTTCACTCTGAGCATAGAGGATAGGTTGCTTAGGTTGGACTTACATATAACAACAGATTCCTCGCCGATCTTAAGTCAGCCGGACGGCTCACTGTCAAAGATACTTTGAGTCTTGGCTTGCCCCTGCTAGGTGCGTCCCGGGTCCCTGGTAAATCGACCTCGAAAATTCAAACCACGCACAGCGCATCCCAAGATGAAGGCAGTGCCAGCGAAGCAGCTAGACGCAAAACATCAAGCAATCGGACATTATGTCGAGTCATGGAACACCGTGCGTCCCTCTTCGAAGTGTCAGCGCGTATGACCTACGGCTCACAGTGACATCTGTTCTCCTCGTCCAGTACTTCTTCCGTCCACGCAAGATGGAAGTCGCACTCTTGCAAGGGGACCAAATTATCAACGGCACCAAAGGAGATAGTTCGAGTATACACACCGAAGCGCGGGATCTGAAGAGCGCTCAGATCCCCCACTGGGCGGTGAAGAAAAAATGGACCAAGACATGCCTCGCCTGATTCAGGAGACCCGGGAGGACCCTCTGAATCGCCGAGCCGAGAGAAGAGCATGCAATGCGGAACGGAGGCAAAAGCGATGCCATAAAGCCCATAGGCGGATGCCATACACGTTGGTCATTTCCCCTGAGAAGTCGACCTGGCGATGGACTATCGATTGATCGTTCTGGAGCATTCGTTGAGCGACATGTTGTGGGGGAAAGAGCCGGTGGATACAGCGCAGTGTGGACGGCTTTGCACTTTGTCAGCGTGTGATAGCCTTGATGACATGTGTAAGACGTAGTTGTGGGCGGACGGTCGCCGCTGGACTTAGTGTGAGCGCAGCTTAGGGACTCGCAGGCACTGCTTGCTTTGAGTCAACAAGAAACTCACCTGCGACATCCACACCTACCTGGAAAAAGTACTCCGGCACTGACATAGCTGATTAAATATGGAGAATGAAGTGCTGGACAGATATACAGACGGGAATGCCGTAAATGGAACAACCTTGGCTACTACGCCAACATGGACTGTCGTATACGACAATGACAATTCATGCTGAGGCCCGAGGGTCGTGGCGTTCAACTTCAATCAGGACCCGAAACGGCGACATCTCGGCTGCCGGAGCTACGCCGGCCGTGTCTGTCCGTCAAGCCAGTGCATCCGCCAATGCCGGTTCGAGATATAGTGGCAGTGCCAGACGAGCTCTAGCGAAGCCGAGAGAGGCCGGCAGTAGCGTCCAGCCGAGCGGCAGTGCTCGAGCAGTTTTCTCGTCGTTCGACTTCCTGACCTCGACGACGACGTTCACCGACGACGAAGCGTTCCTACAGTAGACGCAGGCATATTACCTCGATTTAATCTCTACGCTATTCTACAGCCTTATTCTACACTAAAACCCCTTCTATTCCACATCACCAACTTATCCATTCATTTCCCCGTTCATCATGCATTCTCACCTCGGCCTCACTTTCGGCAACCGCAACACGCCTGTCCCCTACCCGCCGGTCCAAACACAGCAAACCGGACCTAACTTTGTAAACCCAAGTAGCTCAGTGCCGTTGGATCAAACGCTTGCCCAACTTCAAGCCAAGATCCGGGCGTTGGAAGCTCAAGTGGGTGCACAGTCCACTGCCCCGCCGGCCCCGCCGCCCGAAAACACCATCAACCCGATGATTGCCAACCCGGCATCCATCCAGCAGGCGCGCATGCTCGCCCTGTCTGCTCGGGACGATGGCAAGAAGCCGGTGGTGCTGCCACCCATCACCCCGGGCCACAAGAGG